GTGGATTTCCCTGAGGTGCTTCCCCTCTTAGCGGAAAGGGCATCCGGTCATCCGGCTCCAATGCCTGGCGCAAAGCAGAGGCGCCGCCAGTCCCTCCCGCTACCTTCCCACCCAGGGGGAGAGCTGGTCACGGCCAGGCAGGTGGGGGAACCAGGCCTGGCCCAACTCTGCACCCGCCTCTTGCGCTGCCTGCCCAGCGTGTTTCTGCTGCAGGGGCTGAGGAAGACGGGGGGCTCCTGAGCACACGGAGAGCTAAGCCCTTAATCCTAACTAAACACATTACCAAGGAGCTCATCAACAAAAATCTCATTACGATGTGCGAGGCCAGGCTTAATTGCTTGTCCCCGACATGCACCATGGACCACGTAAGCTCATAACCCAGTTTAAGCTTATTATCATCACCACCATCGTCCGGCTTCCTGTCCAAAATATAAAACAGTCGAACAATGGAACGGGGGGGGGGGGGAGCCAAATAACCAGGCAAGGGGTCTCCCTTCACGAAAGAGCTGACACTGCAGGGCAACAGCCCCAGGCCCGGAACAGGAGGAGGTGGCGTGGCCCCTTCCCACTGAGGGGCCACAAGCCCCAGTGCTAACCACCCCCCTTCCCTCCCCCCTCCCACATTTTCCAGGACTTCAGCTGGGAGGCAGCTGGGGCCAAGAACCCTCTTCTGGGGCTCCCCACTTCCTTTGGAAGGGCCTGGCCGGGGCGGGGCAGTCCTTCCCTGGCCAGTTGGCACAAGGTGTGCCATCGCCCTTCCAGCCTCCCACTTTTTCTGCCCCCCCTAATTAAACTGTGCTCACAAGGCAAGCAGGATGGCAAAGCCGGCTGCACCAGACCCCTCCACCCGCCCACGCTGGCACTCTGCCAGTGAATCACACACAAAGGATGTTCACAATCATGCCCCCTTCGCCCATTTTTCTACCTGCCTCCTTTGCCTCATGATTAGCCTGCTGAGAAGGGCCATGACAGGGAAGGACAGGAGCTTCGGTAAGATTCCCACCCCTCCCACTCCTGTGGCTGATCCGAGATGAGCCGTGTTCCCCCTGGGCCATTCCCCAAATGGGTGCCCTTGACTCAGCAAGCCCCCCCCCCCAAAGGCCCTTGTCTCCCCTCCTTGCTCTGGAGCCCCCACCACACNATGGACTCATCTGGCAGCCACTGATGGGCTCCTCTACCCCCTGGGTTCTGCCAACCCTTTGACCTTCACACAAGGGATCCAGTTGCTGGCAAGACTGGCCTTCTCTTGCTAGGCCTCCGCAGTGTCTTCCTCCTTCCCTTTCCACACACACAGAGGGAATGCCCAGGAACATCATGGCTTACAGGCCTTCCCTTTGCAAGCCAAGAAGAGACGGAAGGTATCGCAAATGGCAAAGAACAAAAACCGAAAAGCAAACCCTCCAAACGAGAAAACCGAAAAGCCGGCAAGCCCTGATTGGAAGGCCTGTCGCTGGGAAGAAGCTGCCAGGGACGGAGGGGAGTGGGGGGTGGCTGGAAGCGAGCGCTTGCTCACGGCCGCCTCCTGCTTCGACTCCCTGCTGGAGGATCTTAGCAGCTCAATATGAAATTGCTTATGAATGGGTGCAATTGGGGGAGATGATGGCAAGGCTTGCCTGGAACGCAGCGGAGAAGCGGCTGCCAACGGAGGCCACGCAGCGCTCCCTTTATAAGATGATTTGTCAACTGACAAGCAGCTCTTCTCTCACACCAATTTGGGGCTCTGATTTGCCAGCAACTTTTTAATCTTTGAGTTGTTGCTGGATAGATTGAAGTGTCTGCTTTGATCCAAGCGGCAGGAAGGGAGCATAAACACAGCCATCGCTTCGGCTTTCAGCACAACGGACAGAGGCGGAGGCAGCCAAGCCCAGCAGGGGGGTCCCACCCGCCAACCGCCTCCCCAGCCACCCAGACCTTGTTTTTCCAAGGGGGGCATTCGCTGGGCTTGTCAGGGCAGGGGGCCTCTCCAGGAAAAAAAAAGGGGGGATGCATTCCTGGGACTGCCTTTTCTTTGCCTCCAAGGTCAAGGCCAGCCTTGGAGAACCGGTTTCACTTCTTGAAAAAAGGCATCGATCAAAGCAGCCGCATCCTTGCTGGCCTCCTATCTGGTGGGCCTGTGGCCTCCACATCCGCTCCTCCATTGCAGAGAATTCCTGCCTCTCCTCCCCTCCGGGACTCCCTCTGCCGCACCCACAATCACTTGTGTGCCCCACGGATAACAGGGAGCAGCGGAGACGCGTGCGAGGAAGCCTCGTTTATCCATTTAGAGACTTTTGCTGCAGTGTCCAAAGGTGTCAGTGGCCCCATCAGAGGGCATCGAAAGGGACCAAAAGCAGCAGATCTGGGGGGAGGGGTGGGATGGAGGAGCAACACAGACCAGAGAGCATCAGGGTGATGCTGGTGAAGGCAGCCAAGAGGCCCAAGTGCTCCAGAGACACAACCGGCGGTTGACCCATGGGGTGGCAGGGCTACCTTTCCATGGAGCTGCTGCATTTAGCATGGGGGGGTTCTGGGTATCTCCCCAAGCAGCCCCCAAAGGGAAGCGGCTGAGTGCAGAAAAAGCCCCATGAAATTGGCCCCTAGGAAACCACCACAAAGATGGCCAGAGGGGTCAGGCTGCCCTGGGGCTCCTCTTCCCCTCGGCAGCAGCAGCAGCCGAGGGGAAATGACTCATCCGCGCTGCACAAATGCCCAACGATTGATGAAAACGGAAAAGACCCTCTTTGCCCACGGAAGAGGTTGCTCAAGAACCACAAGAACTTCACACATGGGCACAGGAAGCCTTTAGTCTTTGACCCCCTGCAGCCCCCCTCCTTTCCCTTCCGCTCCGTCCCTTTGACTGCACAGCCAACAACGTCGCAAGGATGACAGCTCACCACACGCACAACCTCAGAGACTGGGGGGGGGGGCGGCAGGCAAAGCCCTTGAATTCAGCCAAGAAAAGGGGAAGAGGAGGGGCAGGGAGGGGTGAGGGGGGGGGCTCTGAGAGGCGCTGGGGGAAACCAATGACCAGAGTCGCTGGCAAAGACGGGTCCTGAGGACGGAAAAGTATCGTTGCATTTAGAGGGGAAGCCCTCCTGGGGCCCCAACTGCTTCTCCCTCAAGGGAGGCTGGCAAGTTCCGATCGTTGCTGCGTCCATCAGCCGCAGAGGCGAGTTGCGGTTTGTTCAAGCAAATCCATTTATTGTGACTTTTCAGCCTAGGTACCACATCTGGTCACATCTGGCAACTTCTCTTCCTCCCCAGAGGGGCCGACAAAGTAAATCCCACCAACTGGTCCATTTCCAGCTGACCGGCAGCTTCTCATCAGCAGTGCCAGCTGTGGAAGGAAGGCCTGATGTTCTGCCCCACCCCAACCTGGTTCCTTCCAGCTGTCAGGGATTCGGGGATTCCAGCTGCCCCCCAAACACCCCCCCCACCCCACCGCGGGCTCCACACTTGGCAGGAGGCGGGGAGGAAAAGGTCCCTGGATTCCCCTGGAGGGCTGCTCTCCCTTCACTGGCCAGCAGGTGTCGCTCTTGCTTCGTGAGCAGAGAGGAAAACAGGCTAAAATGCCCAGGTAATCCCTGTTGCCGGCTGGGGTCCAGCTCAGATCTCCCGCCTTTGCCACAGCTGGAGACCCCCCCTCTAGAATGAAGCTGCTGGGTGGGACTGGGAGACAATCGCATGTCTGGGGGGGGGGAGATGGGACGGGGAGACCCAAAGAGCCGCAGTTGCACCAAATGGAAGAGATGGTTGAGCAGCTTCTGGACACCCCCCCAAATGCTCCTCGGTCTCGAGCAGCCCAGCCCGGTTCTTCCATCCTGCCTGATTCCTCATCCCAGGCGGCCTCACCTGCCTGACAACCGAGAAGTCGCAAAAAGCCACCTGGCTCTGCCAACTCACCTCTGTGCCCTGGGGGAGGAGGGGAACGTGGACTGTCTGCAGCCTCAGAGCTGCCCTTTGGGGTGGGCAGTGCCCTCCACCCAGAGAGAGGGGCCTCCCTCCCTTCTCCATCCAGAGCCAGGGCAGATACAGGAAAAGCCTCTGGAACGATCTCCCCTGGAGATTCGGACCCTCACCACCCTTCAGGCTTTCCGCAAAGCTGTTAAGACCTGGCTGTTCCGGCAGGCCTGGGGCTGATGAGTTCCTGTCCCCGCTCGAATTGTGCGACTCTTGCTTTGTTTTTAACTTGTTTTGTCTTTTGTTCTGTTGTTTGTATTCCCCCCCCCCACCTTGTTTGTTAGCTGCCCTGAGTCCCTCGGGAATAGGGCGGCATAGAAATGGAATAAACATTTCCAAACATTTCCAAACATTTC